TATATATATAGATATATATAGATATATATATATATATCTATATATATATAGATATACATATATATCTATATATATATATAGATATACATATATATCTATATATATAGAAACCATGGTTCTGTAAACAGCGCTATAGGCAGCAGTCAGACGAGGACTCGGCTCTGACCGAAGCTTTCTGACCCTCGGGCCTTTGGCTCTATACGTGGAGCTGGGATTTAGAATCCCGAGCAGCGGGCTCTGTACCTCAGACATCCTTTAGCAGAGGCATCCGAGTGTGGAGCAGGTGGATGTTAGTGGATTCAGAGATGCAGCGCATGGCGCGGGGACGATGGCAGTGATGGAGTCTCGGGTCTTCACGCTGTCTTGTTCTGACCAGCAGAGATCGCCTCAGGGTGTCGCTGCCCTGCCCGCTCACTCTGCACTTTCTTATGCTCGCTAGAAACAGCGTGCTGGACTCTCCAGTGTTTGTGGGCCCGGCGCCTGACTGCGGAGCCGGATCTGGTTTCATGTCGTGTACCGGTGTGTGTAATCCAAGTGCTGCTCTGAGAGAAGCAACGACAGGCAATTTAGGAATGATTAAAAGCCACTGAATCACCCTGTCACTGTGTGTATGTGTGTGTTCGCCTGCTGCTCTCTTGTTTCTCGGTGCAAAGTCGCCTTTTCATCGCGGCAGCTCGCTCGGACGAGCACCCATAACTCATTGAAAGTAGCCGCCAGACGGTGGACATGATATCCCGTCTATAATGGGATGAATTGGATGCCGGACAAGTAAACATTGCACACAAACGCTCAGAAGCTTGCGTCAGTGTCTCTTGTGTTTCCTCACATACAGATTGTAATTTGTCCCCCCCCCCCTCTCTCTTCCTGCTATTTGCTCCCTCCTGATATGTGAAGTATAAAGAGACGGAGGCTTTACACGTCACAGTGATGCAGGTGTGGGTGACTTTGCAGTAGCTCAGTCGGGACACAGTCTCAATGTTACTCAGCTCCAGGGGTGGGGCTGGGGGTGGCTGATGACTGATGCTCAGAGGACTGAAACTAGATGGTGAAAAGGTGCAGCAGCCCTGCAGAGAACAGCCACCGAGGCACAGAGCAATGAGCGGACACAAGCTGGAGACAGCCGGGTTCCCTCAGAGCAAACTGAATGTTGTAGGAAGGAGCCGCCGTGTTCTAAAGCAGGAAAAGGTGAAAGGCAAGTGGTGGTTTACGTCTCACCCTGCAGCAGCCTCCTGCTGTCACAGCTGCTGCCCTGTGCTGCCCTCTGCTGGTACGCTCACACACGGTCTTCTGTGGGCAGAATATGCAGAGAATTACATGGCAGTAAAAACACAGCAGTCATAATGAAAGATGAGAGCTTCTGTCTGTGCCTCTAAGTTGGTGATGATACGGTGGAAAGACGTTTCACCTTTAAAACCACCAGCCTGCTCTCACCACGCTGACATCCACACTCATCGTCTCTTCCTGCTGTCCAGCAGCTGCAGCCAGACTTCTCCACCAACGTGACATGTACTACTGCTCACACACACACACACACACATATACACACACACACACGTGTGACACACACACACACACACACACGTGTGACACACACACACACACATATACACACACACACACACACACACATATACATTCACCAGGCGGTCCGCCAAGGCAACCCGCACAAGGGTGCAATTAACTGTGGGATCACCCTAACAGCTTTGTGTGTGTGTGTGTGTGTGTGTGTGTGTGTGTGTGTGTGTGTGTGTGTGTGTGAGTGAGAGGGTAAAACCAATTACAACTTTGCACATTTTATTATTTATATTATTATTTTACTAAATTGTTTTATTTATCTTATTTTATTTTATTTTATTTTACTTTATTTATTTATTTATTATTTTATTTATTTATTAGTTTATTTTATTATTAGTTTGTTGCCATGGTATCCATTGGTTTTATGTTTCATCTGTTGTACTCACTGCTTTGCTTTTGCTGCTTTGTCAGTGGAGCACATTGTAATCTCTGTGTTTAAGGCTCTATGTAAACACAGCTATTGTTATTATTGTGTTGTTCACGTCTGTGTGCAGGAGACAGACAGAGATGGTCAGTCTGTCTCGTTACATCTCAGGTGTCTCTTTCAATGTCACGGACCCTCAGAGGGTCAGAGCTGACAGGAGGAGCCAGACTTCATTAGTGGGTCAATTAACACTTTCCCAGACAACATCTGGAGGACACACCGGCCCCCCAGCTGCTATTACCTCTTAACCCCCCTCCTCAGAATAAGAGCTAGCTGATCGTACTGGATGATAAAGCTGCATTAAGGCGTGTCATCTGGCACAAACATCCAGAAACAGCCTCAAACAACTGTCAGAACTGTTGGCGCTGGACTCCGGAGAGACGTCTCATCACTCAGCAGCCTGTTGGGGCTTTATCCTCCATTTCTTTGAGCTCTTGTTCTTCCTTCTCTTCCTCCAGGCCTCTCCTTTCAATATCTCAGCCGTCTCTCTCGTGGCCTTCCTCGCGCCGCTGCCCGGAAACTCGTCTTCACCAGATTGATCCGGTGCTGCCGGTTGCTCCGCGTCGTGCTGCGGGGCAGACAAAGGCCGAGAGAAAGAGGACGCAGCTGACCACAGGCCTCAATGTCAACGTGGAAGATGAGTGTCTAAGTCAGTGTTTCTGTTTATCCGCTTCCTGCTTCATAGTTTGTCATTAAAAACATCACATGTAGTTTTGCAGGTGCGTGTGATGAACTGGTGATTTAAAGGTAATGAGATCTGTGATGACGTCTCATCAGTCGACGGTATCGCACCTCTTCCACGTCTGTAAGCTCCACAATGATAAAATACATAAATATTAAACAGAACCAGGCGTGTCTTCATAAACATCAACTTTTAATACTTTAAGACCTCGTGGATATCCTGTAAACCTTTACTCATTCATAAACCTGGTGTCGAGTTAAAATATGTATTCAGGAAAACAAAAGGATTTCTTTGTTTCAACAGATGTTTTATTGGGGTCACAGCAGCAGCGCGACATTCAGGACCTTACATCATATCGATATTCACTACAATCATCAAAATAAATAAACAAACAGTAAAATGATCATTTCACGTTGAGCAGAATTCAGTGCACATCAGCTGACTTTAAATAATGAATAAATAATGTTCACCACGGTTAAACAACAACCAGTGAGTTCAGCTCATGTTTGGATGAGACGACCAAAGACATGAGTAAATGTTCAAGTTAATGTTAAAGTTTAATGTTAATGTGTAATGTTGTACTTTAGAGGTCCTCATGGTCTCATCGCCTCACTGAACTAGAATAAATGATTCATCCACACAGAAAGTAGTCCCTTCATTTCACTCGTCTACTCACAGACACAAACACGATTGGAAACACACACACACACACACACACACACACACACACACACACACGTTTCACCAATAAATAACATTTCATAATTCATAAGTTACTTTATGTACAATTGTAAAACTTCCATGGGAACGTTTATCCTCCTGAGAACTCGCTCCAGCTTGTGCGCCTCATGTTTCATCTTTAAAGTATTTTAACACTTTCTGAAAGTCTTCTGACCTTCTGAATAAAATAAAGATATATTCAGTTTGCTGCACTGCTTCTCTCGACAAGAAGCCAACGGGATTATTAATTACATTTTGTATTATAGCAGAAACTAACGTTTAGGATTAGTCGTCTCATACTGACCTGTTCTACACTCAACATGTTCACAGACTGCACTTCATCCCTGCAGCACTCTGACGCACTTTAACACACCAACACACTCACAACATAAACTAAAGAGAGTTCATGTCTTTGTTGGGTTAGAAACAAAGTCTCAGATGAACACTTGAGGTTAGAAGAGACTCTGAGGATCCTTCAGGTGTTAACAGATGTTTCCAGATGTAACTACTACATGAGGAGCACAAACTAAGATTCTTCACTCTCAGAATGCACATTGAGTATGAAGTGACAGATATGCAGTGATGACTGGTCCCTTATTCTGACAACACAGTGTGTGTGATGCCCAACTACACATGAAGGGAGGACTGGTGGGAGTGGGAGCGCTGCAGGGACAGAACACGTTACTCCGTTTGGGGCACGGAGATGGCCGGTCCTTTGGGGTCGTCGAAGCGGTCCATGGTGCGGAGCTGCATGATCATGTGCAGGCCGTAGGTGAGCACCAGCACCATGAGGAGGCTGGTCATCAGACCCATCCAGATACCCGGGGAGAAGAAGCCCGCGCAGTCGCTGGCGTAGGAGAAGTCGCTGCCGCTCACGTTGAAGCCCTGGATCTGTGGAGGGACACGTAGAACAAACAGGGTGTGTTTGTTCTTTGTTATCAAGTTCATCCCTTTCATTTCAGGCTTTAATAGACTTTAGTCACAACGGACATGTTGCCTTGTGATAGCAGGAGAAGCAGCTGAAACCATCACACCCGAGCTTCTTCCTGCTGTGAAAACGGTCCGTTAATGAGCCGACAGAGCCAGGAGGCAGGATAGCTGTCTCCGGTCTTTATGCTAAGCTAAAGCTCTTGAATACTTTAATTTGTCTCTTGAAAGAACGCAATCTAGGAAATACATTATGAAAAGGAGAAAAGGGCCCATAGCTCTGCCAGAGTAAGATATGAGAACGTCATCCATCACTCAGCAAGAACAAGTGAGCTTCCCAACAGCGCCGGCAGCTGAGAACACAAACCAATACAAATCTCGTTCTTACCTGAAAGTCTTCAAAGGAGACCCTCCACTGATTGGCCGGATCGTTGAAGGTGCGCGGGACGAGTTGGGGCCACCGGAAGTTGGTGACGGACTCGCAGCGGTACGAGTACTCGGCGGGGGCGTAGACCTTCCTGCTGCCGTTGAACTTGGCTTTGGTGCCGTCGTACTCCAGCTCCACGGTGTCCAGCGTGAACCAGCGGCGGGCCGACACTTTGTAGAGACGCTGGCTCATAGCGAAGCTGGAGAGTATCAGGGAAGGTTACATTGATCCATGTTCATGAGGGAATCATTAAGAGTTCAAATGGACATGAAACACAAGCTGTAGGATTTGTTCAACACACTCACATGAGTTTGAAGCTGCGGTGGCCGAGGACGTTCTCATAGTTAAGAACCAACCTGCAAAGAACCACAAAGTAAATGAGAGAAAGAGAAGAACCTCATACAAACACTTCTAAACACCACTACTGTCTCTTTAAGGCACAGATATGTGTCTCCACACACACACACACACACACACACACACACACACACACACACACACACACACACACACACACACACACACACACACACACACGTTTTGACCCACTTGGATTTGGTTTTGTCGCAGCTTGAGCCGTGGAGTTTGGGGCTGACTCCCTCCCCGAAGGTGGACGGGGTCAGGTCGTGGTCTTCCCAGCGACCGCTCCGAAGGATACTCACCGACAGACCTTTAGCCCAGAGCAGGATACAGGTCTCCTCATCCTCCTGAGAGGGGGGGGGGGGGTAAAGCTGGTATTATTACATATTGTTCTTACTGTCCTCGTGCTGGAGACTGAAATATTAAAACAACAACTCTAGTTATTAATCAAACAAACAGCAGGAAATAGAGACTTTGTTGGGGACTATTTTCAGCGGCGTATTAATCCACATTTGGTGCTCTAGTGAGTTTATGTATGTGGGGATGGAGACAAAATAAACTAGGATGTGTGTTCATGGTAATGAAGGAACATCTCTCTCTCTCTCGCTCACTCACACACACACACACACACACACACACACACACACACACACACACAC